CTGGATGTAGGTGAACGACAACTCCAAAACTCAAGGTCAGTGGTCTCCAAACCCTTCCAGTATTTTTTCTTGGTCATGGGAGTTCTGTGTACTGTTTGTTTCAATTCCATCGTTGGTGGAGTTCTGAATACTCTTTGATTGTAGGTGAATTATAAATCCCAGCCACTATAATTCCAAATAGCAAAATCAACCCCCCAACCCCAACAGTATTCAAATATGGACATACTGGGCATTTGTGCCAAATTTGGTCCCGTGAATTAAAATACATCCTGCGTATCAGCTATTTACATTACAATGCACAACAGTAACAAAACTACAGTTATGAAATAGCAAAGAAAATAATTTTTTGGTTGGGGATCACCACAACATGAGGAACTGCATTAAGGGGTCGCGGCATTAGGAAGGTTGGGAAACACTGCCTTAGACCCTGCATGATTCCCCCTTTTTCCTATGAACTCTGTGCATGCTCCCTTGCCCCATTACTCATTCCCTATAAGTATGTATGCCTATATAAGAAAATATGAAGGAAAGCAACCTTTTCATGAACCAGCAACCTATGGCTCTTCGAGTTTCCAAACGTCCTGAGCCAATAATCCCCTAACAAAGGATTTCACCAAGCCATCTGCATGGACAATAAGTAAATGGCTCTGTCTGACAGGACCTCGGAGGGCTAATAGCCAGACCATCTGGAATGATGGGGTCTATGGACACTTTGGATCACGCAACACAAAGGACATCTCTCCATCTGCAAAGAACCAGGGATTTGTCATCCACCTCCCTGTTGTGTCACATCCTGATCTCTCGAAACTAGCATCTACATCAGTGAACTCCATATTGCAGGACAGTGTGATAAAGGACCTAACCTCTCGGGGCTAGATAAGAATGTTAATTCAAGGAATCAAACAATAACTCAGGCTCGGCTTGAGAGCTAGTGTTTATAGGTTAAGACCAGCTTGAGAGCTGGTGTTAACCTATAAAGCCCTAAACGACTCCGGCCCTGTTTACCTCTCCGAACGTATTCTCCCCTATGA